AGCTGACACTGAAATGTTCACCACAGCACCTTCACAATCAAAAAGCATCACTTCCCAAAACTGCACCTCGTCCATTTCTGTTGCATTTTATCCATGGTGGAATGGTTTTGTCTGACATCAAAAACACTTCCATAGCCCTCCTGCTGCAAGAAGGCAGGCTCAGACAAGCTGTCTCTTGCCTTCCTTTCTCATGCTGGAAGCTGTGACAGATTCTTCACCTAAACTTGTATTTTCCTTCGCCAGCTGCAAAAAATGACTTCCAATGCTCTTCTTTGGTAGAGCCATCAGGTGGGGCTCTTGCCAGAAGGAGGAATTCTGGTCGTTTATTCTAAGAGCTTTCCGGCATTTATAGAGATGCTAAATTGAAGGCTTTCCAGCACTCACAAAACACGTGTTTTTATTAGTAATTACAGCTGTTTGTGTGCATTTCTTGGGCTGTGCATTACAGGAGATGCTTTCAGAAGATGACGTTCTTTCCAGGTGCCATCTCAAAGTAAATTAACATTACAGGAAGCTTTTTACAGTCAGATGTGGCTCTGTATAGTTTTCCCTCTCAATAGGCAACACCTGATAAATGGTTGCACCCTATTACATAACTTCCAGTGTTTCAAATAAGTTTCCATTAACCCAGGTATCAAAATGGAGGTACCGTTTCTCCTGCTCATTTCCTCACCTATGACATTCTTAAGGACGTTTCTCAGTTTAGCACTGAGTGTAACTCAGTGGGAGTGTTTGCAGAGTGAATGAGTGACATCATGTTTGTCTCAGCTAACAAACAAGCACAGCGCGTCTTATTTAAATTTAATCTTGACCCTAGGACATAAACTTCAACTTCTGTTGCCCTGGCCTGAGTTTGCCTATCCCAGATGACTGTAGATGTTACATGGATAACATTGCATTTAGCATCTTACCATATGTTTTATGTCTTTTTTGGGATACCCTGATAACCTTTTGCATGACATAGAAGTTTTGCTCCAATTGCCAAAGGCGCAGAGGTCAGCCAGTCTTCATAGTAGTTCATGTTGAGAGCACCGGATCTTGTCTTTTTTTTTGGTGGAGGAAGCTCTACACAGAAGCACTGCTTAATCCTTACAGATTACTTACTTTATAGAGCTGACCTTATTCTTTTCCCTCTTCCCTACCCTTCTCTGATGCTTCATTTGCTCACATTAACAAGTTGGTTACACACTGGTGAACAGACTTTCCTTGTAGCACGGAGTGGTTCATACATATGAGACTCAGTGCCTGATCGAACACCTGCCAAGTGGATTTTGGATGCTAAGGGTATTTGGTATGTAGGCAGAACTATACAAAATATTGCAGTTTTCAGAATTCAGGGTCCAGTTCTACTTCAGGGAGATGGATGGCATGACTGTCTTTGGACTCCATGGCAAGGCAGGTTGGCTTCCAGATCACTGCAAGGCAATCTCCAGGAATTTACCACAGCTTGTACTTATTCATGTGTCTTACACTGACTGACAACAGTGGTGTAAACTGGCATAACGAGAAAAGAAGTGATAACATTCAATCTTTTGGGGCTGTTTCTGTCCCAGAACATTTCTCATGGTGGAAAGAGCAAGTGATTAGAATGTGGTGCGTCTGCTTCACCAAGAGAAACAAAAAAGAGTTGTCTGAGCAAGCTTTCGCTAGAGGCTGAGTTTCTGGCATCTTGGAAGAGAATGGGAAGTAAATCCTGTACAGCTGGGAAAAGATTCAGTGTGAGCTTCTGTGTGAGAAGGATTTGTACTGCGAAGGAAAAAGAGCTTCTGTCCTTTATCTTTTGTGCTTGTGGTTGCAGTTATTCCATTAATTTGATGATGTAAATGCTAAGCACATGGCGAAGATGACTTCAGAAGTCTGACCTTTCAATTTTCTTATTTCCCTTCCTTCAGCTGAATGGGGGGAGGTAGTTATGGAATTGACAACAGACCCTGAGAGGACCAGATCAGAATAAGGTGACAGTGCGCAAATGTCAGACTTCAACAAATTAATCCCAGGATGGTCACCCAGATGTGTTTGCAACAGATAATCTAAATACAAACATAACGTTCTAATCTCTGCCACGGTGACTCAGTAACAGATGCTAAATGGATCCACATTAACCTTAGGGCAAAGCATCAGCATCTGTTGCATAAATATTTAAGGCAATATGTTTCACACAATATTTTGAAGGATTACTTTTTTTCTTTCTCTCTTTTTTTTTTTTTACAATTACAACCACATTTCACAATACTCAACTGTCCTTTGAAATACCTAAAAGAACAGGAAGCAGTGCAAAACATGGAACAACTAAGTAAGTTAAGGACAGTAAAACTGGTGTGCAGCATTCTGTGGTTTCCTTTGGATGCTGCTTTTGGGAAAAGAGAAATCTTTGATGAGAATATACCTTTGGTTCTTCAAATGTTATTAAACTGAAATATAAACACAGAATCATAGGATGGCTTGGGTTGGAACCCAAGGATCATCAAGTTCCAGTCCCCTGCTACAGGCAGAGCCACCAACCTCTAGACGTGGTACTAGCCCAGGCTGTCCAAACAAAGTATAGAGTGGCATTTTCCTTCTGCTAAATTAAGCTGCAGTGTAAGGGATCACCTGGCACAACTTTTGACAGATTGGTGTATTTTAGATATAGAATCATAGAAAGGTTTAGGTTGAAGTGGACTTTAAATCCATATTGCATTAGCAAATTATTTCCCAGATGAGAACAAATCCCATATAGCCCTTAAAGCAGTGTAAGCTGATCCACCTCGGCAGCATTTATTTTCAGATAGTGTCATTGTTTCACTTTTATTGATTGCTTTCAAATTTTAGGCTTTACTTATGCCAGGATGGTTAATCTGTGGGCTCAGAGGGTTAATGCCTGATAAGAAATTCTTCAAACACAGTGAAAGAAACCCAAATTTCATCAGGGGCGAGGCAGGGGACGGGGAGGATAAGGCATGACTGAACAACGTAAAACAGCAATTGAGTGCTAATTCAAATACCAAACAAAACCACAGCAGAAAGTTCTCAGACAGACTCCCAGAGGACGAGTACATAACCAAATAAGTACTAAGGAATCTTGGACATAAAGAGGTCCTATAAAAATTGGATGCTGCTGAAAATATCACCTCCCACCCAGTCCAAATAATAGGTGATGTTCTAGTATGGTCTTTTATATTCAAATCCTTTACATAAAGAGCCAGATTCAAAGTTTAGAAAGATCAGAGAGCAGAGCCTGGATGCCGTATTTAAAACAGCGATGTGGATAAAACTCTGTGCATCTCCTGTGCTACCATCAGCTGTAATCTTAATCCTTTTGCTTTAAAAATAATTAAGTCTCTAGAAAGACAGAGATGCAGCAGTCTTGGAAGGGCTCAGCTGTTCAGCACGTACAGCCCTGAGGCTCTGAAGTGAAATGGTTGTTACAGCAATGAATCCTGTAAGGCTCCTTAAAGACTTGGGAAAGAAAATCCAATTCCCAATGAGCTTTCAGGTATGCACAAGTTTCATTTTCACTTGGTTGGGTTTTTTTGTCTTCTAGTTCCAGGAGACTTTCAAGTAAATTTCATTTGTCCTTAGTCTGATGTCTCCATGACCTGAACTCACTCTGGTGACAGGTAATCTTTAACTGCATATCTATAAAGCAGTATAAACCATGACTGTATACAGTAGTGCATTTGGTCTTGCTAAACCATTTAATTATGAAGTTCTATAAGTGATGTAACTATGATAACTTCAGCACATTCTGCTTGACCAAATTTCCATGTTCTACATCTCTTCTGTGTAATTGAATTACAGGACTGCAGTATAGTGAGGCTGTCCAACAGTAAAAGCATTTAGTATTGCAGACAGAGCCACAGAGCAGGGAAGAAACTATCCTGTTATCTTGTTTGCTTGGAGTAAGTCACTCTGGGTTTTTTTTCCAGTCTGAAGTTATATCAAAATCATTCAAAATCATAGCCACATATTTCAGAAAGCACAGTTCAGTACTGAAAGGATTGTCGTGACGTGAAAGCAGAGGTCCCAATACACTGCAGGGATGGGTTTAGAAGGTGGGCAACAAGGCGTGAAAAGAGAATTAGATCAGAATTGTTTGGGGTCATGAGAAACATAGCAAAGGTAATGCTGGTGTGTTTTCTGCACCATGAGAAGTAGGGGGCAACAGAGCTGGTCTCAGAGTAAAGAGAAGACGACTTTCCCTTGTGACAGACAGCTCAGTGCTGAACTTCTTGCTGCAGAATGTCACAGGCATGGAAAGTTTGCAGGAGTTCAAGGGAGAACACATTCCTGGAAAGGAAATCCTGAGAGGACTGCTGCTGTCTCCTGATTTAAGAAATTCCTAAAATGCGAGTTTCTGGAGAGTGAGATAATGTTGTGGAGCCGTTCATATGATGTGTGTCCTAATCTTATGCATTTCCATGCTGATCCTTTAGTCATTATTGTAGGAAATGAGATATTTAGCTAAGCAGATGTTTGGTATGATTCACCACTTATGTTAAGGCAGTTTGTATTGGATGGAGGTTTAATATTTGCTACATTTACTTGCCGCAGTGTAAACTGGAATTTATTACAGAAGGAGATCATAGAATCATAGAATTGATCAGGTTGGAAAAGATCTTAAAGATCATCAAGTCCAACCACAACCTGACCATCCTACCCTAACTCTAACGGCAGCTCAATCACGTCCCTGAGCACCACATCCAGATGGATTTTAAACTCATCCAGGGCTGGTGACTCCACCACCTCCCTGTGCAGCCCATTCCGGTGCTTAACAACCCTTTCTGTAAAGAACTTCTTCCTGATATCCAACCTAAACCTCCCCTGGCACAACCTGAGGCCATTTCCCCTGGTCCTGTCACCAGTGAGAAGAGACCAGCCCTGCTCTACAGCAATCACCTTTCAGGTATTTGAGGTGTTTATCAACTGTACCCTGTTCTGTGGTGATCCACAATTAGGAACATCCCCCCCCCCCAAAAAAAAACAAAAAAACAAGACTAACAAGGATTTGTTTCCAAGAAGCAATATATTATATTATATTAAACATAAGACCAAAAATTTTTGGAGAAGATAATAATGATTCCATTCATGAAATGCCACGCACATCTGAATGAATGCTTTTATTTGTCATAGTGTGTCTTCAAGATTTGATAAGTGCTGATGTTAAGCAGTTCAAACACACCTGCACATCTGCTGTGTTGATGCATGCATCACCTGCACGGCGTTTGGCACTTTTCTATACCACCACAGTACAGACAGCACCCAGACCTACAGGAAAGGCTGGCACTCTGCTGATGAGCTGGTTTGGACATTTACACTCTGCTGTGGGAAATCCTTACCAAGCAGCATACATTCTTTTAACTGACTTTCCTTTTTGGTTTCCATGCCTCAGTGGACTGATGAGTGGCTTGATGGAAGAAAAACTCTCCCTGGAGAAGATTTCTAATTTTGCTCCCTGGGTGAGCAGAAAATTTTAAAGAGCAGGCTGCAGGCTGACACTGGTGGAGGAGGGCTGGGAAAGGTCAGAGACCCCTGAATCATAGCTTTGTTTTCAGCAGCTCCGCTGGTGAAGCCCCCTAGACATTCTCCAAGGCTCTCTGTTTGAGAGACAGCTCATTTCCCCTCCTAGATTTATAAGACTGTTTAAAATTGTGACATCTTTAGGGCCCTCGAGGCCAGCATATATGGATGAAGCTGGGAAAACTGCAAACACAGAATTAAATACATTTCTATAAAGGCAATGCCAGTTTTCTTCCACTAAGACTCTTGTAGTCAAGATGCTCCTACAACATAAGTATGAGCAGTTTGCACTGGAGGGCAAAATCCTTGAAACTCTGTTTCTCTAAGCTCCAAAGCATTCAATTTTTACTATTTGTCCTTAAAATAATTTTTTTTTTTTTTCACTTAAGTGACACTTTCTGTATCTTTCGTACAATAGTTGCAAATCAGCTGTCCTACTATGGAAGTGAATGTTAGAGATAGCAGCAGAGGCTTCTATCTTGTTTTAAATAAGTTTATAAGTAAGTTTAAAAATGATTTCTTGAAAATCAAACCTTTTGTAGCAATGCTTTTTGTATCGAGTTGTGGAGTTTAAACAATTTTTTTTTAAAATTACTGTTATAACAATTTTAGGAGGTTTGTTGTTGTTGTTGTTGTTGTTGTTGTTGTTGTTTTTCACTTCATTCTAAAGCAGAAAATCTCCATCATGGAAGTATTGTCATCTCTTTGTATACTCTATAAGTCTTTCAGGCTGCTATAATACATCTTCTAGAATGCTGAACTTCGGTTTTCTTTTACACCAAAGGCAGTAGAGGGGAACTATCAGATTCTTGCTAGGAAACAGAAAAATCTATTTTTGTTCCCCTTTCCCTTATGCACACTCAGGTGGGGTGCCTGGAATCATGCAGGATTGAGGAACCCCAGGAATTCCTTATCTGCAATGCAAGGTTAAAACACACCACGTTTACCTTAATATTCCAGTGGGTTGGGTTCTTTTACTTTGTAGAAATGTGGAAATAGATGGAATAAGCAAAGGGATGGTAGTCACACACCCAATGCTACCAGAAACAAAGAAGTTCTTACCGTGTTTCACACTGACTCTTGCCTTTTCCTCCTGAAAGGTTCGTGGCATTCAGCATTTGATTTAACAAAACTTGATGATCACATCCATGTCTCTTGGCTGCTGGTGTGACAAACAGTTACACGTGGATGTCCTTGCAGAAGGCGATTACCTTTTGCAGTCTTAGCAATGGCAGTAAAATATGCCTTCCTAGGCCATTAGTCTTAGCTTAAAGCAGGAAAAGGAAGGATAAATGCATCTGACTGACAAAAATTCTTAGTTTATCTTCTTCAAACTTGACAGAAGTCTTACTTGGCACTTGCGAGGCATGTATCATAAATAAGTGATTTATTTTTCATATACATATTTAAGTGCTAAGTTACACTGCTTTTCTTAAGGCATCGTATCAAATCGTATTATTCCTCCTAATATTGTGGGTCTGTTGAAATCTGAACTCAGGCCTTGTTTCAGATTTTTCTTCACTTCCTGCTCACACAGTTCATCATGTGAGTGAAGTTTTTCCATATCTCGACTATTTCCTAGAAATAGTTCCTTTCCTTTGTACCATATTAGTACTGGCACACCAGTCACACAGATGGATTCTATCTGCTCTCATCTGCAATGAAATTAGTACCGAGTTCTTCATCTAAACCACTCCAGCATGCAATGTAATTCTTTTATATCTGTATTGATTTTTTAATTATGAAGATCAAAGGTATGAGTCAACCAACAAATGATTTTCAGTCTTCCTTGCATCTCAGTGTTTTTATGTACTTGGACTTCAATTGACCAGAAGACCGTAGCTTTGCACTTGGAAATTGTTTGATTTGACAGGTTCTGTATTTGCGACATCAAAATATGTTGCTATGGAAAATGTTACAAGTTCTAATTAAAAATGCAGAGGTCACAAGTTTCCCAGAACCAGTAGGGCGTAGATCTTAGGAAAAAAGAATCACAACATAAAAAATCCAGAGATATGTCAGTCTGCAATTTTCCAGATCCGAAAGGAGTGCAGCAAGTGTTCAGAAAAAATACATGAGACTGGAATTTTGATCAAGTTCCCTTGCACTCATTCATATGCTGTGTGTACACCTTTCCATTGGCACAAATTGCCTTCGCAAATCACACGCAGAGCTCTGAAATGTCCTCATACAAATTAGAGGAGAGTTAGTAATTTCATGTAAATTAGTAGAAAGTAGACCTGCGTGGTGATTCTTTCAAATCAAATGCCAGCACTGAAATACCCTCCACGTAACATCCAAGCATTCTGCCACCTACACGCATCCATCGCTTCCTTTGAAGGTTGGTCCATGTTCACTTATGACTCACTGATTCTCCTTCTCTTCATTACCTCTTTATTTGTTCAACTGTTTCTACATTCCCCCTTCATACATTTTTCTTTGTAAACAATCCTTGTGACTTTCTGTTCCTTTTGCTCCAGTTCAGCCAAACCACAAGAACCAATGGTACAAGTGCAGGCCTGAGGCAGAAATATCTGAGCTGGAACATCTCTGAGATGTACCCACAAACTGTTCCAATCAGAACCTAAGAGTACCTCAGCTGCAATGAATTCATCCATGCTCAGTGCCATGCTGTTAGGAACACACCTGTTTTGGAGATTTTGGCCTTGCATAACACAAGACTTTTCCATTTTCACTCAAAATACATTCTGTTTCTTATCTTTTTATGGCGTTGGAATTCTCAGTGCTTTCTTTATTCATTCTTCTTTTTATTGTTTTTCCAAAGCAGTGACGTGTCGTTACTACAGCACGGGACCAAGTCAGCTTCAGTTTCCTCCTGGGACAGAATCCTGTGCTATGCAGGTTGCAAGCTTGCAGTCCGATGGCTCCTCAAACCCACCTTTTGGGTTTCCTCACCCAAACGCTTTTCTAGATAATAAAAAACAAATATCACTTACCTGAGTTTGCCATAATACAAATGCATGTGAGCACTGTATCACAACTGCTGGGAAGCAGCTGAGCAGCAGCAGGTCTCGTTGTGTTAAACCTTCATCTTCTCGTATCAACTGAGATTCACCTGGCCCACAGAGAATCATTCTCTTGACTGAACTGCAATCAGAAGTGGATAAGCAGACAATTGTTTTTATGTACATTTTGTTAAACCAGATGTGAATTTTGCAGAACATTTCAGTTATCTGCTGAAGATTTCACAAAGGTACAGCATGAGACTTCATGAGGTAGACTTACCATAGTATGGATGTACACGTAATCTTTCCTTCTTTTCCTTTTTAATGATCTTTTCAGCGTTTCTGCAAGAATTCAATACTTGGTTTGTTGCCAGAGTTAACATGTGGGTGACTAACATGGCTGTGGCCTCAGGCCACAACCCTTAAACTGAGAAGATAGAAGGTCAAGTGGAATACGAGAGCATGAAATGGACTTTGTTGTTAGTATAGGCATTTTTTTCATAACTGCAGAAACTGGCATTGGGATGATGAATTTCAAAGCCTTTCTGCATCATTTCAGTATAATAGAAAATACCATAATTGATAAATCAACAGTAGAGCCCCTCTCCCCTCCCCAGCACTACTTTTTCCATTTTAAACTACCATGGCTAATTAGGACAAGGACTGGATGCCTTCATGAACTCTTAAAATGCCGATCTACAGTTTTACGAAAGTAGGAAATGTCATTCATCTGTATTTAATTAAACTTTTTAAAGTCTATGAACAGAGCTCATTACCACGAAAAATTCTAGGCAGCTGCCTTAAAGCAGTTTCTACAGTTACTTCCTTCTTTCTCTGTTAATAAGGAAAGAATTTCTCAGATAGCTACAGGATAAATTTGGGATCAAGATCCAAATTATTTTGTTTTTTTATTGAACTGAAGCACTGCCAGATCTTAACCTCCTTATTCTAAGAGGAGAGACTGGATTCAGATGGCAGTTTAAAGGGCAGCCATGCTCCTTAGAAGGTACAAACCTTCTGCCTTACTCATTTCTACATTGATAATTTACTTGATCCTTGTTAAAATGTAGACTAATTAGGCTAATCATTTAAAATTTCCTCCTGCTTAATATGCTGTTAGAGACTTTAAATAATACTTTCCTCCTTTTTCTGTACAGATAGTACAGATCTTTTTTCTATCATAAAGCAACAGAAAGTTACAGTCATTTTACATGAGCTCAGTATTTCCATTTTCCTATGTTAATTGTGGACATACTTTTATTGCTGCCTGCCTTTCCTCTTAATTGATGCTTTTAAAAATAAGGCACATACTGTGAAAAGGCATTATCTTTAAGGGACGTATTACATCATACCAGCCACTATGAAGAATTAACTCTATCCCAGCCCAAACCAGAACAGTTGCAGTACTTCCTAGGAGAATCAGTGCCAGCTCTCAGCACCACATATACTGAGGGTTGTTGTTTCTTATGCAACAGCTAGAAAAACGTCTGGGGCTTTGCCTAGAAGTTGACAGACAAATTTAAATAGTCCCTGTAAATATTTTGGATGTAGAAATTGAAACCAAAGGGAAGTTTACTTATTATGTTTGCTATATAAAGGAAGTTACTTGCTACGTGTCCTATAAAATACAACAGTTTCTTGCAAGGCTTAGCAATGAGCTCACATCTACCCATTATGCACTGCACACACGTATGTGAAAACAATTTGGGCATAATAATCAGCATTTCCTGCACCATGGCTCAGTATGCTTTTCAACAGCTTAGTTCTTGCTCTTTCAGGTTTTGGTAGCACTTTGTTTCACAACAAAGGGCAAAGTTCTTGATGAATTAAAATGAGGGCCACTCTGTTTGGTCACTGTAACCAACAGGCACAGCTGATCACCAGGTGACAGTTCTACGTTCAGAAACATTTGGATCAGTATCTTCCAAATGTTCATCCCAGTTGTCACAAAGAAAGAAAAACGGCGTTGTCTTCTGTTGTCTGACACCTGGCTGCTTTTGGGGGTTTTTTTGAGTCATCCATTGATTTCCAGCAGGGAATCATCAGGCCAATGAAACTGTACAACAGAGTCACTTTTGTACTCTAGAACATACAGCTCAACCTGTTTAGATAGCAACAAATAATTTGTACTAAGCAAAAGCCGTAATGCATGGTAAGGTAGTATTTATTTTCTTCAGAAATTGAAATAGATTTGAATTTGCATCAATTTCCATCCCCTTATAAGAAGATTCTTTGCTTTCTTACTTCTTAGGCGTATGGGCTGTTTTAATTTCATTAACAAAAGTGACATTTTTCTAGCTCTGTGTCTAAACTGACTAATCCAAACTCTGAATCTTGAGGGGGTGGAGATCAAGAATAATTTCAAACTAGAGCTGGATGTCGTACAACACAGCGGTCAGAATCTTCCTGTTTGAGTTCAGGGTTTTAGTTTGGTCAGTCAGAGGAACTCTGTGTGGAATTACTCACAATCACCAATGGCTCCAATACTTCAGAAAGTTATTCTGGGAACTTTTCTTCTAGGTGGGTTATCAGACATGGATGGAGTCTCTTTAGAACAGAGCTAGCATTAAGTAATTAACTAATAGCTGATCTCATGCTTTTGGTAATAAGGAACTAGATTATTAAAAATGGGCAGGTAGATAGGAGATGGAGAGTGAAGAAGTTTGTTTAGCTTCATCATTAGAACTGGTGCTGGCTACGACCAAATTAATATAACATCTTTCCCACTGTTAAGACTTTATGTTGCAAATCTTTAAAACACATCTGTCATGTACTCTTTAAAATAAAGGAAATAAAAGCAGATTTTTTTTTAAAGAACTGTACAGTCTGGATACATTTTCCATTTTTCAGATAACATGCATGTCCCATGGAAGGCAAACTACAGAGTAGCTCTGGTCCTTTTCTAAATGTTAGGTTTTGGATATTTATTTTTTCTCACATGTCCTTCTCTTGGACACTGCATGCAGTAATAATGGGCAGACCATCTTAACAGCAAAGCTTCAGAACAACTAATGTTGTATTATGATCAGAGGCATAAGAAAGAGACTGTTAAGTCAGTGAACATGGGGAAGGTAAAGGGGGAACGACTATTTCTCTTACTTTTGCAATGCAAGAAATGCAAGCTCCCATCTAAATCAACTAGTAGATGATTAAAACAAGGAAATGGAAGTATAAAATGTATTCCATTGACAGAGGGTACTGTGAAAGGTAACAGCTGAGACAAAGAAGGGTCAGGACAGTTCTTGATGTATTAGGATAGTGTGTTCTTGAGCACAGGTCACAAAAGAGAAAAAGCTCCATGGTTTTGTGACTGCATTATTCTCTGCAAGTCGTGCTGCCCATTCATGCCAGAGAAGAATTCAGTCCAGTGTTGGTGTGGTTTTGGTTGTATTTTTTCAAATAACATGGAGCAGAATGAGATGAGTGAGCTCTTCCTCCTGTGACCATCAACTTCATAATAGAAAACTATATAAACCTCATAAATGGCTGGTCAAATAAGTGCTGACTGTTGGAGTCCCCCAAAATCTCTGCACCTACTTTGACAAATTGTGCTCCTTCATCCGACTCTGAAATTGCAACTTAGAAGAGATGCAGCACTTTCTAATTTGAGGTCCTTCATGTTCAGTTTGGCCATACGATGTGTCGTCTCACCAGACCGTGGTGGGACAGCTGGTTTGCAGTGAACTCGAAGATCAAGATAATTACAGCGTCTGCAATTTGTCCAATTCACTTTCTCTAATTTCCTGTTTGCTGGTGCTCAAAACAACAAGTGCATTCCGTCATGAAAGGAATGAGCCTACTGACAGGGAATGAGATGGAGTGGAAAGCAGCTGTGCTGCTGTTACAAACAAACTTTGTTCCAAAAACTCATTGATTACATGTACCAGAGCAGTGATACCATGTGCAAAAGAAGAGCAGCTCCGTACTTCCATAAACTAAGGATGCAACAGAACATGTCCCTCTGCTGCTTTGAATTCTCTCATTCAGGCTATCAAACTGTAGCCTTAGGGATGCTTAGCAAAAGGGAGCTTGTACAAAGTAGGCAGGTTTTCACCTTATTTCCAAAACCACTGAGTTTGAAGTTCAAAATCAAATAACTTTCTATTTATTAGCAACATACAGTGAGCCAGTGTTTAAAAATGGCATCTGGCTGTAGTCACTGCCTGTGCCCCAAACCATATTTTCAGCTGACAGTGAGCCATGATGCTCACTGATGGGAGATGACCCATTTTTCTCTGCGCATTCAGTTTGACTTTCCCTCCTTCATGCTGATTCAGCCATCTGGTAACTGTATTACAGTGAGTTTCCTGATGTGAGATGTGTGTATCCAGGGGCAGGGGACATTGCCATGACTCTTTGGAAGTTTCAGACTGATTATGGAGTGCCAATGGTTTGTTTTTCCCTCGCATTCAGAAGCACTGCCCATGCTGCCAAATCAAAGTGAAGTTAGGGCAGCTGCCTCTGCAGGTACATTTGTTTTTAATCACAGTTTCTACTGTACTCAGGTCAAGGGACTCAAAGTGAAAAGGAAATGATCACAGGAAAACAGAGATAAGATAGTAAGTTAGTTAATATCTCAACATTTACCCCAGTGCAGGATCTGTTTATTCCTGTGTCACTTCTGCATTTAAAAACAAATCAGTAACACTAGCACAGTGTGTGATAATGAAAAGAGAGCATGAGGAAGCATGATGCTTAGATGTCCTTTTCTACAGGTGAATGAAGGAAAAGGCACTTCTAGCTAAAGAGGTCTTTCAGAAGTACCTAATTAGCCAAAGTTACTCTAATTGAATAGCTTGTACCAATGCTCTGTAAGCAAAACATGCAGCAAACAACTCACTCTTCTCCCTTGATCCATGCAGTCCAGTCTTGTCTCCTCTCATCTAAGACACCTCTTTCTCACATTTCTTCCACACTCCAGTAAAAAGCATCTGAAATGTAAAGAAACGTCAAGAAAGATTTCATATCAGGTTTGGTTTGCTCTGAAACTCTCTTTCATGCAAGGGAGAACACAAAGAAATACCACTGGCAATGTACTTGACAATGATGTGGCAAGAAGTCCTACATTTACTTATAGTGCTACAGAATACACAAATCCTTTAAAAACTTCAAAATGCAGCAGGAGTGTAAGCAAAGAATTTCAGATACCTGTCTGTATCATCAGAGATAGGAGAACTGAAGAAGCTTCCTAAGAATTCATTCATCCTGATCACTTTGCCTCAGGCTCACTGAATCACAGGTTAATTTATGAAGCCTTTTTTTCATGCCAGAACCACCTTTTGTAATTAATTCCAGATGCAGTAATTAATTCTAGATGTAACTCTGGAAATATTCAGAAGCAGAAGCATGGCCTATTGACAAACAGCTCTCATTTTCCATTGAAAGCTGTGATGATCTAGAGAATCAATCTTACACAGTATCTAACCTAATTAATTCTATGATGCGGATTCTGTAGTTTGAGGGCCACGTCACAGCTGGTTTGGAGCAGAAAGAAGTGGTTAATTTACAACTATTACTTCTACAGCTGGGAGAACTGTTCTGTACCAATCTCACCAGAGCTTCGCATGGAAAACGTCCTCAGTGCAGAACAGTGAAATGAAGCTATCAACACTGACCTTTAGGAACTAAAAAACTTCTGTGCCTCAGAGTGCCTCAAGAGTGTTTCTGTATGATGGACACTTGGATGCAGCCAGTGGCATCTGGATGTGTCACAACTGTGTATTTACTTTGTAATTACGGATAGAGTAGCGACTTCGGATTGGCACAGACATTTGTGTATAGCCTGCAGAAAAGTTACTATGGGCAGCGTTCAGAAAAGTGCTCTTACACCGCTATTCAATGAGACTTGCATGCCTGCAAAATGTCACATTATCTTCCTGATTCCTTTTCGCCTTCTGAATGAGGCACTCTCCCCATTAGCCTCAATGAAGGCTTTGTTTTTGTCTTCAACACTCGGAACAAACTTTCTGGCCAGCAGAACGAAAATCACTAACACAAAGGATATTTTTCTTCTCTAATTGCCATAAGACTGGGAATATTGCTTGCTGTCAGACTGAGCTGAGAGCCTATTGAAAAAGACTGGATAAACTGACAAGCTTTTTCTCCATAGGCCCTGAAGTGTGTGTCCCACCAGTAATGCTTTTGAAAAGATTATTTGTATACTGTGTGCCAGATCTGAGGCCTTATCTCTTGGAAACTGGGCTCTGTTAGGGAAGAGGACCGTCTTAACGCTGTCATATTTAGCATTATAACCTATCACACTGATATCCTATATGGGGTTACGTGTTCAGAGATCAAGACCTAATAGGGAAGTGCTAAACTCCCTGTCCCTGGAGTTCAGACTCGGCAGAAAAACACACAAGGGAATTATCCTATGGGGGCTCCCTGCAAACATCCCTCAAAAGCAGATTTTAATAAGAAAATAACATGGATAACTGTTCCTAGAGCCTATACTGATGCGCTGAGATGTCTAATTGTCTGCAGATATGGTCCACGTTGATAATAATGACCACTTGAAGAGGTTTCTTCTACTAACTTTGAGGCACTAGGGATTCAGCCTCAAAGAAGCCTGCGTCTTTTGATGGTGAATAATCAGCTATGAGAATACTGCCTGAAATTAATTTGTGGAGTAATACGTGGTCACTTCAGGAGGAAAAAAAAAGGTAAACGACAAAGGTTGTATGGTCATTTGATGGATCTGTTATAAGATGTGGGAACACACTGCACAGGATTGCATCCACGCGGGTTTTGGGTATCCCCAGGCGAGGCGCAACCTGCTTCACTGCTCTGCCCTCCTCATGACAAAGAGCAGCACCGCATTGTTCTAAGCGCTCTGCGCCACAAGCCCGCAAATCTCTATGATATTTGGTCCTCCAGGCGGTAACACGCATGCGCACGGAAGCACCCTCTCTTTCCTCCAACCGCTCTGCGCTGCGAGTCCGCCGACGTTTTTGGTCCCTGGTCCTCCAGAACGTACAACGCACGCCCCGCGATACGTACAACTGACACAAACCTCCCACCTACAGCCACCCGCGTTACTCTCATCACTTCTGCTCCCGCCCTGTTTCGGGCGCTTCCACAACAGAACCAACCACAAAAGAACGCAGCAGCCCCCACAGCCTCAACACCTCCTACCCCCTCACACCACCCTCCTCCGCGAAAGCCCCCAATCGCGGATCCTCATCATAAGCCACATACTCTGAAGGCAGGGCGAGAATTCCTAAGCCCCATCAGCAGTTCCCAGTCCGCGTCCCCCATTCATTCCGCACTTCCTCACACACCTGCACCCTCCACGTGCCCGAGTGAATCCATAAACTCACTCTTTTACCTCACCACTGCCTCCGAGCGCCCACTGATTGGCTCAGCGCATCCATAATTTACATATAACCGCTCTGCGCCTCGAGTCCGCCAACTTCTATGGTGTTTGAGCCTCCAGGCAGTAAGACGCATGTGCACAGAAAGCCGGAAGTGATTTGCCTAAATTCTAGCTACTCTGCGCAGAGAAACCACCACTCTATGGTGACTGATCCTCCGGCAGTAGTGCGCGTGCGCCAAAGCAAGCGGCACTTGCATGGATTTACGCTCACGCTCAGACCGGGGAGCAGCCCCCTCGCTCCTATCGCCACGTCCGATTGGCTCAGCGCCGGGGCTGACTGACAGGTGCCCGCTACAGTTCCGCGCATGCGCACTGGCTCTAAGGCGCCCCCCGTTGCCTCGTATTGACTGCAATTTGGTACTGGAGGCGCTGCTGCGGGCTGAGGCTCTCGCTTAGAGCGTGGATGGCAGAACTCTGCGGTGGGCTGAGTGCAACCTGGAGAACCCTGGGGGTCTCTGGGAGTAATCTCTAAGTGAATTTGTTGTGGCAGAACAAAAGAGGCATCACTGCTGGAGGAAGCTTCATATGTTGGATTAAAACACTGAGATTCATTCTATACAATGCACTTTAGGGTGTGCTTGAGTCCACTGGGGTGTCTTTGGAAGCCTCTAGAGCACAATGCGAGACTTCTACATCATCCTAGTGGACACCGAGGAGCTCTGGGAGTATCGCAGAGTTCCTCAGATTATGCTGGGGGCATTTTGGAGGCATCTAGGGCACACTTAGAGGCCTCTAAGATACCTCAGAACACATAGAGGAGCTCTGGAAGCACACAAATGTTTCTCTGAGCACAGAGGGTGGCTCCTGGGAGGCCTGTAGGATGCCCTGAGAAGCATCTAGAGCAGCATGAAGCACAATGAGAAACCCTGGGAGAACTCACTGGACATCTCCAGGAATCCAGCAGGACAAGGGGAAATGATTTTAAGTTAAGGGAGGGAAGATTTAGGTTGGATGTCATGGGGAAGTTCTTTGCAGAGAGAGTGGTGAGGTGCTGGAACAGCTGCCCAGAGAGGTTGTTGATGCCCCATCCCTGGAGGCATTTGAGGCCAGGCTGGATGGGATCCTGGGCAGCCTGGGCTGGTATTAAATGTGGAGGTTGGTGGCCCTGCGTGTGGCAGGGGGTTGGAGATTCATGATCCTTGAGGTCACTTCCAACCCGGGCCATCCTGTGAATCTTCCGCGGTGCCTGGAACACACCGGGGACTCTTGCTCAGGGCAGTGCCTGCAGTACCCACCGGCGTCCAGCAGGTGGCAGCAGAGAGCCGCGGCGCTGTCGGGAGGCGCGAGAGCCGCTCGGCGGCATTTCCAGCAGCGCCCCGAAACCCGGCTTTGTTGCTCGGCTGCTGGTTGCCCAAACAAGCAGCGACAACGTATACACACAAATGTCTATCCGCTACTTAGTGTGCCACAACATCGAGCTTCCAGAGCTTGTTACTGCGCTGTAGAGCGCCCTGTAGGGTGCCCGTCCTTCTCTCTCCTTTCCCTCACTTTCCCCAGGTGCTCTCCTCCTTGCTTTGCTTTATTATTCCCATTACCTTCCTCCACATTGCTCAGAAATTCCACTTTCTTGATGAATATCAAATCCTAAAGCACTGCCATTCTATTAGAGTTATCCGGTTGGGTTGTATTGCATTTTGCATCTCACTCTAGGGCACCAGAACATAGAAGCAGATTGTGAGGTCTGATTTGGGGAAGGCAATTCTCTTGGTGGGGTCAGCATGGAGGGGCCAGAGCCCCAACCACAATAACCCCAACCCTAATAAAGCCCCGACCCCAAAAACAATACTAATCATCAGCCTAACAACCCTGAAGATAGCTGTAATAACCTCACAAAGCTTCTAACTCTAATTCTAATTCTTACCCATAAACCCAGCACTAAAATTTTCTCTGATATTAATAACGTGGCGAAGGCTGGCAAAGCTGAACAGAACCCAAAGGGATCTCAGCAAACCCCAGCACAGAGCAGCGAACCCAAATCCATTTGAAACTACTGGAGAGAAAAGGGAAATCCCTTCCTTACAGTGAAAGAGGCAGATCTCTAGAGAAGAGGAAGCAGATAGGGAGCAGCCGTCAAGCGTCCCATAAATCAGCAGGACGTTATAAACACTGCCATGCACTGCAGTTAGGAAACATCCAACAATACTTCAGACTGTCAGTACCACCAGGAAATAAGACAAATAGCAGCCCAGCCTGGCTCTCCCTCATTCCAGGATAAGTTTCTACAAAGCCTGACTGATGCTCTATGGCACTTCCACCTCTTTGCACTGCTCAGGCTGACTTTAAAGCTCCTGGGAGGGTCGGACAGAGTCAAAACCACAGAACCAAGCAGCCTTCTCCCAGCACACCCAGCATTTCCAGGGTTTGCTTCCAGCCTCTCATGGTTTATTTTGCACGTACACCTCACAGGAACCCAGGGTACGTGATAAGCTGCAGCCAACTGCAAAACCACAGCTGATGAGGCTCTCTGCAGAAACCAGCATCATGCTATTTCAGAGTTTCGTTCCTCTGGCTGGCACTAAACGTTAACAAACTCAAAGCAGTAGAACGCTACACATTTGTGGTTTAATTCCTCTTCTCCTTGTGTGGATGGCAGCGTTTATGACTTTTTAAGCAGTTGATGAAGTGCTTCATCAACAAAATGCACCACTGCAAACTCCAATGGAGGCTGTCCTCAGAAATCCACCCACACTCATCTTTTCCGTTCTCTGGTCAGAACGCATCCAGCTCAGGTTTCCAGTAGATGCTTTCATGGGTACAGAAGAGTAATCTGGGCACATTGATGCCATGGCAGCACTTTCTATTAGTCACAGAATTGTGAAAGTTGGAAAAGAGCTCTAAGGACGTGAAGTCCAACCATCAGCCCATCCCCACCGCGCTGCTTATTGCCCTTCCTTCGGTGAGGTGCTCAGGGTGCAATTATCACTCCTTGCAGCACAGCAACACGTCACAGAGAGGCTGCTCCCAAAAGCCATGGAAAAAGAGAAAAAAAAAGGCTGATTTGAAGTTTACCTCAACCCCATTCTGCTGAGCCTCCCTTCCTGAACCAACAGGCACCGACCTGCACAGAGCCCTGAGCTGTGCCCCTCAAAGGACAGCAGCTAGACAAAGCACCTCAGCACCAAATATGCCAGATGTGGAAACAACACAGAACCCAGCCTGGAGGAAGAGAGATTTGCATTTGCAAATTGCAAATGCCAGCAGTGCCCAGAAATGAGCTGAGCTGTTGGACAGGAAGGCTGATGTGCGCAACCACTCGTACCTTAGAAAATATAAACCCAATACAAAACCGTGATGGCCAATTAAGCCTCAACCGCAGCTGTCACGTTGTAACAGCACAGACATGGACAAGGTTGGCCATCAGGTCTCAACTCTGCCTGGACGCCAACAGCAGGTCAGGCTATGGGATGCAGGCAGCGCATCTCACCCAATCCACACTGTGTGATGGAACTGAATGGCGTATTTCAATTTGTAACCCAAAGCCAATTTCGGCTTTACTGTCACCTTTACGCCACAAGCCGCCTCACAGGCACTGCCTTCCGGCCTACAAGTCCTTCCCCTCCCCAGCCGCCATGTTGGGCGCGGCAGAACCGGAAGGCAAGGGGGGAGAAGCCATCTTGGTTGCTCGATTTGGCAGGGGAGGGAGGCGCCATCTTGAGAGTGGCAGAACAAGAATGTGGTATAACGAGACGCCATCGTGAATGCTTGATTTGGCACAGCGGGAGAGGCCATCTTGAGAGTGGCAGAGTAGGAACGGGGGCAGCCATTTTGAGTGAGACATAGCAGGTGGGAGACGCCATCTTGAGTGTGGCAGAACCCTTTCCTCCCCACTCCTCCACTCCCTTCAAGTTTAAACGAGACAAACAAAGCAAATTGGAAGTTTTTATCTGAGGAAATCTCTATCTGCACAGCTCTGAGCACCCCCTGGGAGGGCGCTGTGAAGCCACAGCCCAGCTCCCACACACCCACAGCCCTCCCTGGCTTTTATAGCCACGCATTGTGTCTCCATCATGCTGGCGAGCCGCACACAGCCATCCTCCCCTCCATCCATGGAAGCCTCCAACTGCTCCTCACCGCTCACCTGGAGGAGGAGGAAAAGAGGAGAGAAATGAGAGGTTTCCCAGGGGAGGGCAGCCCACCCAGCAGCAGGTCGCACCTGCCCAGCACCGCTTGCACCGATCTCCTCAGGGCTGCGTTGCTGCCATCCAGAGCTGCTGCCAGACGGCTGCGGTGGGACGGGCTGAGCTGCGGGGAGAACAGATGTGGAGCTGCAGAACAGGTTGAAGGGAGCCATGAAGGGTCGGTGGCTGCAAGGCTGCACTCACCTGGCTGCTGTAAATGGTCAGCACAGCCATCACCAGCTTGGCATAGCTCAGCGATGTGGCAAAGGCTGGAGCCTGCTGGCACAGGGTGAGCACCAGGAGGTCAAAGAGCTCGGAGGGCAGCGGCTCCTGCAAGAGAGCGGGGAGCACTGCAGGCCTTCAGCCCGGAGCTGCTGGAGCTGCACACGATGCAGCCTCACCTGCCTGCCCAGCACCGCCAACACCACCGACAGCAGCTTCTCGGTCAGAGGGACTGCCAGCACCTGGCTGCAAAACACAGGAGATGTCTGTGCTGCTCACACGGCCTCGCTGGCTGCACACTCTGCAGCTCGTCGTCTCTCACCCCAACACCATTCTCACGTAGTCAGGCTCCAAGCACTCCTCTACAAGGTCACACACCAACTTGATCTGCTCTGCACCTGCAGGGGTAAAAAGCTGAGGCTGCCAAACCCATGTGGGTGTGCTGACCCTTCCTGCTGCCCCTTTCTGGATGGCCCAGTCAGGACACCCAGAAATCAAGTGGCGCCTCCTTCTGCTGTTTGGAGAACTCAGCATCCTTCATTCAGCTGCAAAAGCTGAACTGCCAACAGCTCCCAGCAGTGGGGGAT